TTCATGCCATTCTCCTCCCTTCTGGAACTTTGTAGTCAGGTACTTCTCAAAGGAGATTTGAACGAGATTAGCTTTTTGCTGGTGTAACATGCTGTGTCTGTGTTCACTGAAAACATGTTTCAGTGTGGAAAAGGAATTTTCCCACACTGCGGTTGATGCCCCAAATGTCAGTGATAGCTTCAGTGCCAAAAGTACAGTTGGCATTGTTGACAGAACATCGCAGTATTTTTCCAAAGTGTGTGGGATCCACTTTTTGTCGCTGGCTTTATTTGATTTTTTTTTATGGTGAACTCTGATTCAGAGGCTTCGGTTTTTGTTAATTGCAACAGTGGCTTGATTTTGTTGACATCCAGGAAAAAAGGGCTGTCTGCGTCCATGGCACACAAAGCCTCTATCAGTTAGCTATTTCTTTCGTTGAAATGTGAACGCAGCTCTCCCAGTACAACATCCAATGTACAAAAGAACATTTGTTTGCACTCGTTTTTGTTTGCTGCTCGGCTACCCACTGTGCTTTCAACCACAAACTCCTCCATGGTTTTGTTCATGAGTCTTCTTCTTTTGGATGCTGGTGTGTCGAGAGTGCTTGCTCGGGATTCACATTCACTCCCAGTCCACAGGTTTTCAAATTCCGCTTCACATCGTAGATGTTCTATACACTCAAGAGTGCTGCTGACAAGCTGGTAACTGTTATATAGATCAGCTGCCTCAGATTGCAGCATTGTGTTAGGAGGATCAAGGAGCCCCAGGATTTTATGGCTCATATGAGCTATGAACATAAAGCATGGCTCAGTCACGGCTTTCAGTAAACCTGTAGTCTCAAGTCTGAAATCTGTGCTGCATGAGAAAGTAGATTCTATTTCGTGGAGTGTTTCAGTTATTCGGTCACCAGACTTCACAATGACTGACACTGTAGCAAGGTTCCCAGTCCATCTCTGATCAAGCAGTCTTTTCATTTTTTCCCCAGAGTATTGCGCAGCGGCCGTGGGTTTGCGAAAAAAGGAGAAGAGTGAATTGCACACATTAAAGAAATCTTCCACCTCCATCTCAGACGACATTGCTTTTACCACCACTAAATGCAGCTGATGGTTGAAACAATGCACATATGGCACTTCGCAATGCAATTTTTCTTGCAGGATTTTTTGTATTCCACCATGTTTTCCAGACATAACAATTGCTCCATCATAACACTAACTTAAAATCTTTTCATGGGCGTGGCCAGAATTTGTTAGCTCAGTGATAACTTGTTCAGTTAATGACAAGGCGTCATATTTTTTGCTCGTGATCATATTCAGCAGTCTCTCCCGCAGATGGCAACTGTCATCTACATATCTCAGAACAATGGAGATGTTTTCACATCCAGTGGGGTCTTTCGTTCCATCCACTTTTAGTGTGTACCACAAATCACCGACTTCTTTTACAATGTGCTTTTTGACAATCTCGCTCATTAGATTTATTATTTCATTCTGGATATCGTAGGACGTATACATGGCATTGCGTGGAATTGTAACGAAGGCTTTTGTGAAATCTTTGTCCTTGTTCAGTGTGTAGTCTAATAAGGCCAACAAGAGACCGCCGCTTTTTTCTCCCATAGAGTCCACGGCATCTAAGCTTCCTCGTAAAGGAAGCTCGTGCATAGCCATGAACAAAACAATGTCCACTATTCCAGACACATACACGCAGTGTCTGTTTAGTTGATCAGCGTTGACTATAGTGGAGATCTCTTTGCCTATTGCGCTGCAAGTTTTTTTAGTTTTCCACAAAGTCATGCATTTTAAATGTTCCTTGGAGGCTTCATGCTTCCCAAATCCTTTTGTGCTGTCATTAGCGTGTTTTCAGTTTGAATACCCGGTATGAGTAAAAGCTCGGTCAGAATTTGCGTTTGATCCAAGGTTGAATTTTCTGCATGCAAAACAGAATGCTGCGTCTGATTTGTATGAGTATTCAAGCCAATCTCTGCTCTTATACCAGGAACTACAGAAAGCCCGATTTTTTCCGTTAATATTACAAGATGGAATTTTAGCAAGATGAACCTGATTAGGCTCACTCTCTCAAAGGTCATCGGGGGCGTTTGGCTGCGGTAAAACAGGTCTAAGTGATGCTGATGTCCTGCCGCTGCTACCGGGGTTAGGCACAGGCTCACCTATTTCAGCTGTTGTTGGTTTGAAGGCCTTTTCTGTGAGAAGCTGCTGGGCAGTTTCAGTGTCTCTCGGGTCATCTTCGGGTTTAATTTTCTCAGAACAATGGCCAGAAAGCCATTTACGAATATCCATCACCAACAGTTACTAATACCCTAATACGCTCAACTTTACTATTATCCATAACAATAATAATAATATAAACCAGCCGCGTCAACGCCAACTTTGTTTCACACCAGCGTCAACAAAAGCGCGCAAAATATATATATTTAATTGTTTATTTTTAAAATTATTTTGTCCAGCGCGAACAAAAAGTAAAACAATAAATTATTAAATGTATTTCATTGATGTTTAATTGTTTATTTAATTTATTTTATTAATGACAGACTTTTAAAATTTGTCATGTGACTGGCAGGCCGACTTAAAGTGCATTTCTTTTATTTTACTTTGATTAATATGTTTTAAATAGCTTTAGTTTTATTTTTCCTTTAATTTAATTATTTTATTATTATTTATTAATATTTTTTAGCATAGTTTAGTGTAGGTATATTGTTGTCACTTAAAATGTACCGATGCCTACAGTCCATTTATTGTTGTTTAGATCTCGTTTTTCAGCGTTATTTCAATTAAAATATATTTTAAAAGATTGTATGAAACATTTTAGGCATACAGTTAAGCGTTGCATAGTTTATAGTCGAAGTCACGTGATCCCACAGCGCTGTTGCTAGAAGGGATACAGCAGCAACCAAAAATGAACAAGTATTATTCATATTATTTATTAAATTATCCATTAAATTGTTTTTTATTTATGTCTACACCACCCAGTCCTAAACATACCCCTCACAGTAATGTAAAAATATTAGGGCTAATTATTACTGTACAGTTTAAAAAAAATATGCTATGGTGTGAGTCTCCGCAGCTGAATCTCATCTAGACTTTTCCCCGCCGTGCAATTATCGTTTTATATATATATATATATATATATATATATATATATATATATATATATATATATATATATATATATATATATATATATATATATATATATGTTTTACGCAGCGGATGCCCTTCCAGCTTCAAATCCTTACAGAGATACACTCATACACTCTCATTCACACACTCACACTCTCACACACACACACACACACGCACACACACACACACACACACACACACACACACACACACACACTACGGCCAATTTAGCCTACCCAATTCCCTTGTACTGTGGACTGTGGGGTAAACCGGTGCACCCGGAGGAACCCACGCGAACACGGAAAGAAAATGCAAACTCCACACAGAAATACCAGCCGAAATATATATATATATATATATATATATATTGTTTTTTATATAATCGTAATGGGTTTTTGTCATTTTAGGCTTGCTATTTTAAATAGGCATGTTGCATTTTATATATATTTTTAATTATTTAGGCTATTTCTATGTAAGCCTAATTTATATGCGTTTGTCAGTTTAATTTTAATTAAGTTAGTTCTATAAATAAAAAAATAATAATTTATTATTTTATTGTTTCAACCTAATTATTTTTTAGTTGAACAAGACAATACATTTATTTACTTATTTTATTTTGATGTAATATAGCCTATAATGTTTTAAAGTTTTAGGTAAAGGCATATGCACCAGGACAGAAAAAAATCCGACCATGACGACATCACCTAGACCGGCCTACACTTAAAAACTAACCCACACTCCCTATTCCATAAAATAAATCTAGTGAAATCAGCATAACGGAGTCATAACCACGCTTTATGCAGTTTAGTACTCAATTTAAAGAGTCTCCTAGTGATTGTCTGCAATATGATGCGATGTAAATGGTAAAGAATCATAAACAAAACCACAAGGCTAAAAGCACAGCCGGCGCAAAAAAAAAAAAACTGCAAACAAGTTTCGACTAAAGCCTGATTTGCTACACTCAAGAGAGTTGTATTCAAGGAATTAGTTAAATAAAACATTAAATAATTACTCACCCCTCATGTCATTCTAACCCACTTCATCCTCCATAGACAGACGACACAAAAATAATCCAGAAAAGGAACAAAGCATTTTTTAAAATATTCCAAGTGTATTCAGTGATTGTGAAATGTAATCACACGAAGTCCAAGACCACATTTGTGCGCCAAAAAAACAAACAAAAAAACTATACAGTCCTTCCTACATACAACTAGTTTACTATCTCCTGTCAGTTTAGAGTGCGCCACCTTTGTGTGGAGTGCACGTGCACGTTTATTACGCGCACAGTGCACTTGATCTAACGCAAGGATTATCTACTATTGCTGTCTATAGTGGATATGTGAGCTATCAGATTGCATAAAATATTTTAATTTGTGTTTTAAAGATGAGCGAAGGGGATTGGAAGTTGGAACGACATGAGTGTGAGTAAATGATGACAGAATAATTCTTATTTTTTAGTGAACGAATCCTTTATGTAAACTGGGGGGGCACAAATTCTTTCTGAGGGGGCCATGTCCCCTCTTGCCCCCCCATAGCACCAGGCCTGTGTATGAATGAGCTTAACAGAGGAGAAAAGTCAGAGTTTAGCAGCTGTTGAACATGTGCACCTGCACTACAGAGAAAGGAAGGCTTTGACAACTTTCATTCTTAGTTGTTATGGTTACTACTAATGTTTGCAGTTATTTAAAATTGATCAAAACTGACTGGAACTACATGTACATTTCAGCAAATTTAATGCATGGCCTTCAGCCAGAATTTCAATAGACCCTGATTGTAATTGTAATGACAATTGAGAGATGTACAGTGTCTCAAAAATCCTGATGTATCGTATTTTAAACATTTTAACATGATTTTTCTTTTTCTGATTGAATATTTTGTTCTCCTTAGGTGAGAAACCCCACAAGTGTGTGATCTGTAACCAGACGTTCAGCATCAAGAAAACTTTGACCAAACACATGGTTATTCATTCAGATGTACGTCCTTTCAACTGCCCACACTGCAGTGCTACCTTCAAGCGTAAGGACAAGCTCAAGTATCACGTTGATCATGTGCACAGTGTTCGTCTGCTTGACCAGCAGCAGAATCAGCCTGCCAGCCCTGCTAACAAGTTAATCGACCCATCACTGTCAAATAAAAATTCCAAACCATGTCAAAATGCATCTAAGACTGTGCTGCAGAGTGTGGCAGCTGATGTTTGTGTTCCTGTGACACTCATTCCTGTACAGATGACTGAGGAAGCTGATCTTGCTGTTCATGGAGTGCCACATGGCATTCTTCCTGCTTTAAGCCAGCCACAGCAGAGCTACCAGTCTGCCACTGACTTAGTATTCTTGGAAAAATACACTCTCACACCTCAGCCAACCAATATAGTGCATCCAGTGCGAGTAGAACAAATGCTGGACCCTCGAGAGCAGTCTTACCTAGGCACACTTCTGGGACTGGACTCAGCTACACCTGTACAAAACACGTCTAGTGCTGAACATACTCAATAAATTGTCATATGCATGTCTTTGTGTGATTTTATTTTTGTCATCAGCCTCTATGTGCTGTTTTTAAAGGGATAGTTCACCCAAAAATGAACATTTTGTCATCATTAAGGGTGCTTTCACACTTGGTTCATTTGCCTGGACCGTACCCAGGTTCAATTGTCTCCCCCTGCCACCTCCTCGGTTGGTTTGTGTTCATACTGTATTTTTTCTTTCTGTACCCCGGTACGCTGGCGTCATCGAGCAGCTGTTTTGTTTATGGCCGTTGCTAGGTGACGGTCAAAAAGCAAGCGCTGAAATGGAAAGACTTCCGCACATCGCGGTCATTCTGCTTTAACTGAAACTTTTGGTTTTGGACATACAGAAAGTGACTCGCGTCCATCTGCCGCAAAAATATTATAAACATTCAGAACATCACACAGTGTCTTTTGGAGGAGACAAGCAGACATCACTGTGTATCACTGTGTTTGCCCTGGCTCAGTCCCGCGCGTGTCACCATGGTACGAAACGTGACACACACACACGCTAACATGAAAGAACATTATGAAAACGATAGATTGTTATACAGTTGGCGGTTCACTTCCGGGATTTGGTACGATTGCATTCACACTAGAAGTGACCTGTACCAGAGTTTGCATGAACCGTACCCCAGACCACCTCTTTCAGGCGGATTCGGGTTCAGAAGACACGTTCACACTAGCTAAACGTACCGTTCTATGATGTCAAACGAACCCGGGTGCGGATCAAAAGTGCTAGTGTGAAAGCACCCTTACTCACTTTTTCCAAACCTGTTTCACTTTTTTTCTGTTGAACATAAAAGAGGACAATTTGAAGAAGCTGTGACCATTGACATTCATGGTATGCCTTTAAAGGCATATTTCGCTCTTAAAGGCTGCATGTTCTTTCTACAGAAATTCACATTTGTCATTTAATATGAAAAATAAATCATTTGAAAAGACATGAGAGGTAATAAATAATTATCAAATGTAAAAGAAATTTTGTGTGTGAAATGTTCCTTTAATGTCAAAGGACCATTATGCCTATTTCTGTACAGTATATGCAATGTGTATATGTAAATTTCCAATAATTCTTCCGCCAGTCTGTATATCTGACAGAAGAATATAACCACAGTGCAAATGAGTAATAATGTTCATTTAAAACAGTAATTCCCTAAACCAAACTAAAGTGTCATAATTCTTGTGATTGTATTCTTTTAAATAAAGCACCATGAAACAATAAAATCAGAACATTGTTTAAAGAATGTTTATTCTAGGCTTTTTCTACACATAATATAGGTAAAAAATAAAGCCATGACTTGTAGAGCTTAGCCACTAGCCAGGGCCATGCTTAGAGGATGTACATTTTTTGCCAGAATATTATAAAACATGACAGCAATATAATAAAGCATACTGCAAACATTCCATCAATATGTATTAAGCAATATTATCAAAGTAAACGTAATGATGCCATTAATTCTCACTAAGCGAACAAAATCAAGAAAAATACCATTATAAGAAATGCTAGCAACATGAAAAATAATTTTGGTATATTTTCAAATGTATCGCTTTGAGGGCTTCACTTGCTATAAATATAGCAAAATTGTCAGTCTGACAGAACATTTGAGCATAAGAGACACGCATCCAAACTTCTATTGAGGGTAGAAAGAATATTAGGACTTTTGGATGTGACTTGCCTACAAAGCACTCTACATTGTTTGCCTTGAGCAATCATTGAGCATTACATTGAGCATCCTTGCAGCAGGACAGCTGGGTTATTGTCCTAAAGAGTGGGAAAAATCACAGCATCTCCACTCTGCATCCAACAGATTTCGCTACAAAAAGGATGCGAAAATTTGCTGCCTTGTTTATCTGAAATAGTTTTGGCTAGATAAAGTTTTGATTGTTGTAGATTTTAAAGGTGTTGCATGTAAGTATTTGACTCTTCTAAAGCATAAACATGGCATAATATGTTGGCATATATTTAAGAAACATGCTTAATGAACATACCTGTTTTGTTTATCTGAAAAAAAACAATGCTAAAGTCTGTTATTCTTATTTGGAAATGTGTGTTATTTTTAATTAGCAAATAATATAAATATTGCATACATAAACATTAGCTGAGCAGCTTATATTGTAACACCTTATCCTAACAACTCATTGCATGAAAAGATTTCAATAACAGGCAATGGGCTATATGCACGACGACCCGTGTCGCAATTCCGGTAAAATGTAAGACCCTGAGCCAACTTCCGCCGATCGTACAGTACAGTGCTACATGAGCACTAATGATCAAAATGATCAAAACAACTAACGTTTTGGAGAGTTGTCTTAATGTTTTATGCCATTATAGCACACTTGTATGTTTATGTCAGCTACATAAATATAACATCTAAACGTTTGAAAGTGTAATTTCAAAGACGTGAGAACAGTACTTCTAGCTACCACTGCTGTGTTCAGTGACAGCAACATACAGCGTCAGTAACTGAACTCTTACCTCAGTTTCCACACGTTTCCAAAAGGCAAAGTAATGCAGAAGTGGTGGCCTGTTAATATTCAACGTGAGAATTTTACAGAAACAGAAAAGACAAAAGTATAGCTGACATTTCCAGTCTAGCAAACTGATCGAGGCTCGACTTCCAACCGGATGCAGACATTTAAAGAAAGGAGCTTGTATGGTGAATAATAGTTTATTTTCATTGCCTTTAAAGTAAAAAAACAGAACATTGATGTCCAGTTTTTTATCAGGTTACTCACTTTACCTCAATAAACTCCCCACTGGAAGGGTTTCAGGGCAAGTACGATGGATACAACTCAAGCCACTGCAGAACTTTTTTGCATACACACAATGTTCGTCCACAAACTAGACAGCCGTATTGATGTTACATTTGTCTGTCAAACTTCAACGTCCTTCCTTGTTTAAATAACAGTTGTTAGTAGCTAGCAGCTAAGTTATAAACCGGCAAGCGTACCGGCCCCGAACAATAATTAACTGAGAGAGAAAGAAAATGAAACTTGCGTCTAATACATCTCTCCATAATCAGAACTATGATATTTATGAAAATACAACATAAATGTGCCTGTATTTAAACTTACATGGCAAATATACATACCTATATTTGTTCTTCAAATACTCTAAAACATAATAACATCTGTCACTAATAATATACATATTATAAACAATAGTGACAAATAGTGACACATGGAAAGTCCTACAATTGATATACATCAACATTTCTTAAGCTACTTTCTAATTGCATTATTTTTATTCAGAATAAAGACCTTTATTTTTATTTACTGTACATATTAAATATTATTCACTGTATATAATTTGAAATTAAATTGTCAAAAAATTTTACATTTTGAAAAAATATTTTATTCAGACGAATAGAAACAATAACATTGAATCAGTTGTTTTCTCAGCACGGTGCTTCTTCTGTTACTGGTGCATAGAGAGGTATTTGGGCTGATACATATTAAATAAATAAATAAATCACCCCTCTGTTTCATGGAACTTAACACATAATTGATCCATTTCAAACCATTGTTCATGGTTTATGCAACTTCTGTTCCATTTGGGTGCAGGAGGGAAACAGACATTACACATTTTAGAGTATTGGGCTGTCTGGAAAAGCAAGGCAATCAAATGTTTGCATTTCCAACTCTCAGCCACACAAGAGTAGGAGCTATTAACTAGCAGATGATGGCATGGATTTTCTGATGGATGTCCGCTCCAGGATGGAGTAACATGTATAATTTTCTAGCTCTGAATCACATGATGTTACCTAGAAAACAGAAACAAGAATATTAATGGGTTAAAAAGAGTCATTAAAGTCAGTTCACCCAAAGCTAAAAATTCTATTTACTCATCCTTCACTTGTTTCATTCTGCTGTTAAACACACACAAAAATATATTTTGAAGAAAGCTGGAAACTTGCAACAACTGATATTCATAGTAGATTTTTTTTACCTACTATGGAAGTCGATGGTTACAGGTTTTCAGCTTTCTTCAAAATATCTTCTTTTGAAATGCGTTCTGCATCTGCACCAATATCAGGTTAAATTACACTGTAAATCATTACTTTAAATAATTTAAAATCAACTCACATTAGTCACACTATAAAATAAGGTTTCATTAGTTAATGTATTTGCTCACATGAACTAATAATAAACAATACTTGTACAGCACTTAATCATAGTTAAACTAATGTTAAACCAATTTACTAATAAATAAATATCCAAAGTCATGCTTGTTAACATTAGCTATTACATTGTGAGTTAACAAGCACAATGAATAGGCATGTGTTCGTTAACATAAAAAAAACTAATATATATTGCAATAGACAAATTGTTGATGTGAAATTACCTAATAACGCCTTATTGTTTTGGGTCACCCCTCCCATTTAATTACAATGTTATAGCTAAAATTGAAAGTATGTCATCTACACTGTTAAACTTCATCTGTCATGTCCACTGTTTCAGCAATAACACAGTGCTATTTGTCTGTCGTGGATCGATCTGCATTGTATTATTTTATTCCTAATAAATTATGCTCAATAATTATGCTTAAATGCTAAGATAGCATCTGTGTTTCTGTGATTATCCGAACTGAACAGTGGTGGTCACTTTAGAACAGTAAAATATGAACGGGACAGAACTTGAAATTTCTGCTGTTCTAATCTCAGCTGGTGAGGATACTCCGATTTCTTCATAGATTGATCGGTAGTAATAAGCTCTCACTGAGATCTCATTCCTGCCCTGTTTTTACCTCACACTTTGAGACAGAATTACGTACAAATTTGATAATTTTTACTAATGTGATAAAGTTGCAGATGGACGGACGTTTGCCAAATCACAGATCCCTCATGCTATTAATTATATTAAAGTGTTTTTAAAATCTTCAGGCTTAACTCTAAATTTAGATAAATGTGAGCTGCTTGCTACACTGTTAACCCTTACTGTAGATTATGCAGTAAATAACTGTAAAATAGCCAGCGTTTAGCTGTAATGAAAGGAAACAGTATTTTACTGTAAAAGGAGCAGGATTTGTATGAAATTCTGTAGTCCAAAGAATAAATTACAGTAATTTACTCTATGTACCATTACAGATATTTACTGTGATAATAAATGGTAAATTACTGTTCAACCATTACTGCCCCATCTACTCTGATGCTTTATGTTGCTATTTTATATTTATTTTATCTCTGTGTTTTCTTTGGTTCCTTTTATGTTTTTAACATTGAGTATCAGGAGTCAACCAATGCCACAGAGCTTATTAAAAGGTAAGTGTAAGATATGGACGAAATGCATTTAAAGCATTTTACTTTTTCTATAATTAATCTAATTTAATTGCCTAGTTTGACCTATAGTTAAGATTTTAAATTGCACTTTCAACTGAATATTAGTATTTTGCTAAATAACTAGTAAAAATGTGTTATTAAAAAAAAAAAAAAAAAAAATATATATATATATATATATATATATATATATATATATATATATATATATATATATCTTAAACAACACGCACATACATTTTTGCAGAGACTCAATGAATTTGTCTGGAAAACTGGCAAGTAAAAGTGCCATTAACAGTATAAAGGCTTTCCTAAATAAATGTATAAATCATGATATTTGTTGTGTTTTTTATTATTTTTACTACAGATTTGGTACGACATGAGAATTAGATTATTTTTTTATTTTTTTTTTTCTATGGACGAAGTTTATATTATAGTATATTTTTATTGTTTTTATTAAACAATATGTGCATAACTGTGATAAATGTAGGCAGTTGCTTTGAAAATATGCTATGTACCAGGGGTGTCAAACTCCTGGAAGGCCGCAGCCTAGTAGAATTTAGTTCCAGCCCTGCTTCAACACACTACCTTTAGATTTAGTTTGATCAGGTGTGTTTAATTAGTATAACTGCACTGTTACTCTGTAGATTGTGCAGTAAATAACTGTAAAAAAAATAATGATTTAGGCATCACCACACACTCCCACAGGCTGTCCGTCTTTTTCTAAACACAAAGGTGTTAGAAAGAGTTTTCAGAAAATGCTGGCCCTTTAAGGGAGCCAGGTGTTTGATTTGTTTACTGCTGAGTGTGCTCTATTCTCTGTCTATCAATTCAAATGTTGAGTCTGATATGTTTTAGGCTTAAATAAGAATCTTAAATGAGTAAGTAAAATGTGTTCAAATGTTTTTGAGGGTTTATAAAATAAGGCTGTGTTTTAAGTTATATTGTTGTTGTCTTGAACTGTG